TGGAGACACCAAATGTGAGTCAGACCAGCTGTGCCCAGGCTCTGGGATCAGGTTGCACACAGAGCTCACGGGCCTGGGAGCAGGGCGAAGGAAGCTCCCCGACCGAGCCTGGCTCCTGAGGAGGAAGGAGAGTAGGGGTGTCACGTCCCAGAGAGGACAGCTGCCCAGCTATCCTGTGCTCCTTCCGAAGAACGCCCATCTAGGAGCTGGCGGTCTCCTGGGCTGGAGGTGAGGTGGCCAGCTCTGTTCCAGCCACGGCTCCATCTCTCTTGGCAGATGCAGTCCACGTATGTCCTGCAGGGTCTTCATCTCCGCATCCCGAACATTTTCCCAGACCACCCTGCCAACAGCTCCGTGGCTCTGAGAGCCCAGCGCAGCAGCTACAAGGTAAGAGACCAGGCGTGTGTTCAGCCCCCACAGCAGGCGGTGCTGGGAGCCTCCTCTGCAAACAGAAGGAAATGAAGTTTCCATGCCCAGGTGCAGGGGTTCCTCAGGGAACATGAAAAGCCCCAGGAAGATGGGTATACTTGGGCCCCAGCCCAAGAATTCAGGCCAGCTTCGCTCCCACCCACTGCTGTTCTGAGGCAGGCCTCAGGGCCTGCAAGGTGCACTCGGGTCCCTCAATTCTACCCTGACTTCCCTCACTCTCTGGGAACCCTGGATGCCCAGATGTCTGTCTTTCACCAGAACTTTCCAAATCAGGTCCTTGGCATTTCCAAGACTCATAACATCAAAGATCCTCAGAACTGGCAGAGCAATGACCTTTGCCCCTATACCTCCATTCCTTGCCCAGGGCAGACATCACTAATCCATCTTGACACGTTTTCATGCTGAGCCCGAGAATGTTCCAGGCAGCCACCACCCACCGACAGAAGCCAGAGGAACCGATTTGCCATTTCTGATTTGATCCCATCCCTGACTCACCCTGCTGAGGAAGGTGCATTCCAGAGAGGGGAAAGAGCTTGCCCTGGGTCACCAGGGACAGTCCGGAGGCCAGCACCCCCAGCTCCCGCCCAGAGCGCCTTCTGCTCTGCTAGCCTGCCTTGCTTGGCCCCCTCTTGCCCAGATCCCAGAAGCCTGGCTCCTCCTGGCCAACGTCGTGGTGGTGCTGATCCTGGTGCCTGTGAAGGACCACTTGCTCGACCCTTTACTGCAGCAGTGCAAGCTGCTTCCCTCGGCCTTGCAGAAGATGGCCCTGGGGATGTTCTTCGGCTTTGCCTCCGTCCTTGTGGCAGGTGTGTGGGCCCGAGTGGAGGGACGCGGGAGGGAGGCCGGCTCCACTTGGGGCTGATGCTGGAACCGTGGGCCTGCGCCGCACACACCCTCCCGCCATGAGCATCCGTCTTGGCTTCCCAGGGACTGTGAGCTGAAGGGGACCCTCCTCCTCTAGTCCCGCCTTCCCTCGTCTTGACAGATGAGGGAACTCAGGCCACGAGAGGGAAAAAGATTTTCCCCTGTGGGATGTAAGCTCCCTGAAGGCAGGTTTTTTTTTTTTTCTTTTTCATTCACTGCTGTGAATAATGCACGTGGGCACCCAATCAATGTGCTGAAGAATTTTTCAGACACTCAGCCACTTTTTTTTTTTTAAAGAGTTTATCATTTATTCTCTTCCTTCTTCTAGTTCAAAAGGATTTGAAGCCATTTATGACAAAGGGGCTCTGGTAAAGAAGCCTTTCATGCTACTGCACAAACCTCCGTCCCTTACACTCGGTAACTTAATGATCCTGAAGTGACTTAGTGTTTTTGAGCCCCGACTTTGCAATGGGGATAGTAATTCGTTCAGCCCCGGTGCAGGACTCGAGTTCTGCCCTCATGGAATGTGGTCTAGCAGGAGTGTTGTGAGGATTAAAAAAGGTGAAGTCTGTGAGACACCCAGCACTGTGTCTGGATCACGAGGAGGACCCAGGGGACTCAAAGCTCAAAAACCAGTATTGTGTTGCAAGGACGAAAACCAAACTAGCCTCTTTTTCAGCTCCACGCTTTAATGCATTTTGTCCTAGTTCATCCCCACAACAATCCTAGGATTTTTATTCCTACTTCTTGCGTAACAGCACTGGGTCTCAGAGAGGTTAAGTGATTTGCTCAAGGTCACACAGCTAACCAAGTGCCAGGGCTCAGGATTGGAACCTGCGTCTCCTCCCACCACATCCAGTGTCTTCTAAGCAACGAAGGGGAAGGAGATAAAAGTAAACTTGAAAGCCAGGTTAGAAACCCTTCTGGATGCTGTAGTAGAGAAGTCTCGTGATATTAGGGAAATAGGGTCAGTTGTGAAATCAGACCCCAACTATGCTCATCAACTTGGGTGACCCTGGGTTGGTTGCTTAACCTAAATTTGTCTTTCTTCATTTACAAGAATGCATATTAAATGCCCAGCACATAACAGGCTCTCAGTTAATGCAAGCTGGTCCTGTTCATGAGTGCAAAACCTCATTCTGAGCTTCCTAGCAGCCAAGGCAAAAGTCAGAGTTGAAACTCGTATCTTGGACCTCCACCGTGCCCCCAGGCCAGTGTCCTTCTCCTTTCCTGCTGCTCTGTCACAGGCTACCTAGGGAATACCTTCCACGTGCCAAGCTCTGCCCTGGGCTAAGCTGCGGATGGTGGGCCTGCCTATTTATAGTCCCCCTCTGTCCCCCACCAGGAGGCCTGGAGATGGAGCGTTTACAGTACATCCATCGCAACCAGACGGTGTCCCAGCAGATCGGGAAGGATGTGTACTACGCAGCTCCGCTGTCCATCTGGTGGCAGATCCCTCAGTACCTGCTCATCGGGATCAGTGAGATTTTTGCCAGTATCCCAGGTACCCTGGACCCCTCCCCTGCTCTCGCACCAGTGATGGGCTCTGCCTGGTGCTGCCTCGAAGTCAGAGGTCTCACAGGCACAGCTTCCGGAGTTCGTGGGTGTGGAGGAAGGCCAGGTTTTCTGAGTGGGGCCGCGTTCACCCAGTGGAGACTTGTTAGCACCCGCTTGGTGCCAGGCACTGTGATAGGCCCTGGAGATTTGCAGGTGATTAAGGCACTCCCTACCGACTTCCCACATCGTCCCTGGTGCCCTGTCCTTCATCCCCTATGTCTGCGTGGTTGCAGTTCCCCGTGCCTCAGATTCAAAGTGAACTCCTCTTTCCCCTTCACTGCTGAGCCTAAATGTCAACTCCTCCATAAAGCCCTCTCCGAGGCCCCTGGGCAGAGGGAGTCCTTCTAGCCTCCTTTCGCTCATCTCCATCGCGGCACCTGGGTCGCTGTGCTGTAAGAATGCAGCACGTTTGTGTGCCCCGCCGGGCTGTGAGCCAGAGCTGTGGGGTGGGGGTGGGCTCTTCATTCAGCCAAGCAGCAGCTAGTCAGCCGCAGGCCCGGGGCTAGGTTCTGGTGGGACTCACTCAGAGCTGGGGGGACAGTCACGCAGACAGCAAACCCAGGGGAGGGCTATAGTGGTGGCTCTAGGGTGTAGGGAAAGTCCCTGGGACGAGGTGGGGGAGGGGCAGGTGGGCAGAGAAGGCAGAACTCAGCAGGTAGCAGGATGTCCTAGGTAGGGGGAGCAGCAGACGCGGAGAGCTAAGCCTTGTAGGGAGTGTGCAGAAGGCTGGGGAGGTACGGGGCCAAACCTGGATGGATGTTGAAGTCTCTCCTGAGGGCAACAGTGCCCCCCGCCCCTCACCCCCAACGACCATGGGGATTTTGGCAGGAAAGGATCCCATTAGAGATTTTTTTTAGACAGACCCATCTAGCTGTGTGAGGAGGAAGACAGGAAGCAGGGGGGTGATTAAGAGGCATTTGCAGGGGCTGGGCACTAAAAGACCAGGGCCACCCTTTGGCCCAGGGCAGAGGGAACAGGGAGGGCAGACATGATATTTCTGAGGCTAAATCAAAAGGATTTGGTGATGATGTTGAAGGCGGGCAGACAGGGTAGGGGAGAGAGAGGTGCTATCCCTGAAATGGGAGACCCAGGAGGAGGAGGGGAGACAGAGCAATGTGGGGGCATCCGGGTGGAGGTGTTCAACCAGGGGAATAGATGAGCAGGGCAGAGCAAGGGGTCTCGGGGGCACAGGTGTCGTCCTAGCCACGTGGTGGGCAGTCATGCAGGGGAGGCCAGGATGGAGGCTGGGTGGGCCTCATCTCTGCTCCTCCACCGTCCGCTTGGCTCTCCCCACTCCCTCTGCAGGCCTGGAGTTTGCGTATTCCGAGGCTCCGCGCTCCATGCAGGGTGCCATCATGGGCATCTTCTTCTGCCTGTCGGGAGTGGGCTCGCTGTTGGGCTCCAGCCTTGTGGCACTGCTGTCCCTGCCCGGGGGCTGGCTCTACTGCCCCGAGGACTTTGGTGAGTGTGGGGCCCTCCCTGGGAGCGGGATGTGGGTGGTGGGAGGCTTGGAAAGGCGGTGGCAACTACTAAGTGCTTTGACCCCAGGCAGAGTGAAGTGGCAGGCTGGACTCAGGAGAACTGGGTTCTAGCCTGAACTTGGCCGGTCGCCCACAACGTGGCCTCCCCGCTTTGGGCCTCAGTTTCCCTAACTGTCAAAAAGGAATCTGTGAACTTGGCAGACCTCCAAGTCTCCTTCCTGCTTCTGGAAGTCTGTCATTCTGGCTGAAGGGTCACCTTTCTCTGGGGTCTTTGTGTTTTAAACCCCTGAAAGAATAGCCCGCAGGGACTTGCCGGCAGCACAGGAAACCCTGGCGACCGGCAGGTGTGAGAGGGCTGTCTGCCCACCCACTGCCCACGCTGCCAGTCTCGGGGGAGCCCTGCCCGACCCTCATGCCAACCCCTCCTTTCCCCAGGGAACATCAACAATTGCCGGATGGACCTCTACTTCTTCCTGCTGGCCTGCATTCAGGCCGCCACGGCCCTCCTGTTTATCTGGATCGCTGGCCGCTACAAGAGGGTAGCTCAGGGCCCAACCTCCCAGAGCTGTCCCAGCAGGGATAGGGGCTGAACACCCTCCCCCCACCTGCCGCCTCCCCCCCCCTCCACCTTCACTTCTCTCCCCAGGACACAGACAGCCACAGTCCCAGTGGGGGTTCCTTGAGTTTATTCTGTATCCAACATTAGGATGAAATGGTTCTCATAAATAAGGGGCGTAAGCCCTTCCTCACGAGCATGGTCCATGACGGGGGCGGGCAGGGCAGAGGGGGCCTGGGTGGGCATCCTTTTGAGAAGCCAGGCAGGGGACTTGGATCGCAAGCACCAGAGGGTGAGCAGGAAGCTGCCCGGGCTGGCGGCCGACAGTGCCGGGCCAGGCGGGCTGGGGAGGGTCAGGAGCTGCCCCGGATCCTCTCCATGTAACTGCGTAGCTCCTCGGGGTCCTTCAGTCCCATGTCCTCACATACCCAGCGGATGTCCTCCTCACCCGCCACCAGGATGGACTGCACGGCAGGGGCCCCTACGGGCTCCTCAGACAGCTGGGCTGGGGGGGCTGGCGCAAACGTCACAAACTCTACCCGCTTCCGCCGCCCCCCGGCTTCCTTCCGGGCCAGGGTGCTCGAGGAGCTGGTGGTGCCCCCAGCAGGTGCCTGGGCCACGGGCAAGGCCTCCCCTCCGCCCCCAGTCTCGCAGGGGCAGCCCCCCTCCCCCTTGGGCAGGCCGGGGGACTGCCGGTCCAGCTGGCGGCTCAGTTCCTCCTGGTCAGTGCCCAGCCAGACCCAGTTGTGGGGCTGGGGGGAGGCAGGGTTGGTGGCACTGTCGGGAGGCTCCTTGCGCTGGTAGCGCAGCACGAAGACCACACCATTGACCAGGAAGATGAGGATGGCCAGACAGAAGATGCCCAGCAGAGCATACATGCCCAGCTCTAGGTCGGTGACCCGCTGTGGGGCGGGGACCATCTCCTCCTCTTCTTCCTCCTCCTCCTCCTCTCCAGCCTCTGCCCCCTTCCCAGCCTCCTCCTCTGCCCGCTCAAACTTGCCCCTCACACCCCCGCTGCCCCCAACACCACCTGCCTCCCATCGTTTACCACCCATGCTGGCCTCGGTGGCCAGTGAGCTCCGGGCAGGGCTGGATGGGAGGGCAGGGGCTGGGGTGGGAGCAGGGGGCAGCCCTAGCCAGGCGGTGCCAGAGGCCAGGGGCACACGGTGGCGGCCCCGGCGGCAGGGCTCAGGCGGGTGCAGAGCCACATGCAGGGGCAGCCCCTCGGCACCTGCCCCACTCACCACCACCCCGAGCTGGGCACCCCGCTCCTCGGCTGGCAGGACGGCACCGGGCTCCTCGGCTGAGACAGATAGTCCCAGGTCATGGTGGTCGTAGAGCTCAGCGGGGGCCAGGGTGTGGTCAGAGAAGGACAGCCAGAGGGAGAGGGCCACCTCCTGTGGGGCACACGGACACAGGCAGAGACATGCGAGGGCACGCACGCATGCACACAGAGACCACTCCCACAGAGACAGGCCACATGGAACGAAGGAGGAGAGATCAGAGAGAAAACAGACATGGGCAGATGGACAAAACACAGGGAGAGAGGGGACATGCGTCAATCACCTGTCTGCCACTCAGCCCTGGGGTCTGAGTCATCGGGAGGGTCCTCAGAGCCATCTAACCAACCTCCCACTGCCACACTCCAGCCAGCCACTGCTTGATCACCTCCAGCCGCAGAGAGCTCACTACCTCACAGGGCAGTCAGTCCTCATTCTGAAAACCCTAAGGTGAGGGGTCCAGGTGCCTCCCATCCCCCTGTCATTAGCCCCCACCTGGCGATGTTGAGCTCATCCCCCTGAACCCCTGGCTGTCACCTGCTTTGGGGCGGGAAAGGCTGACTGTGCCCAGCATGTGGCTGTGACCTCCCCGGGGTGAGCAGTGCCCCGGCTCAGGGCCAGTGAGATGCCCATCACCGGCTGCACCCGCAGCTCCAGCACCGAGACCTTGTCATCCGTCACAGCCAATGCCTGCTCCCCGAGAATGGAGTCAGACAGTGGGGAACGCACCTGAGGGTGAGAGGGAGCTGCAAGTTGTGGGGGGGCAAGTACACAGAGAGCCTCTCCGGTCTGAGCCTCATCATCTGCACATGCTGCTTTTCCCCACCCTTTGCACTCCATACGACCTATACATACCGGGACCCCCATGCCTAGGGAACAGTTCCCTCCTCTCTCAAGGCCTGGTCCCTCCATACCCAACCCCAGCCCTTCATGCTTTGAGGGTGTCCCCCATCCTATTCTCACCCAATCTCCAATCCCGCTGGGCTCATACCTGCCCAGGTAGACCCTGGGCCCGTTCTGACACTCTTCATACCTGCCCATGAACATTCTGGGGGCCACCTATGCCCTTCTCATGAGGGTCTGCTCACCTCAATGGAGGTGACGCCGGGCTCCCGGCCCACCAGGATGCGGCCGCCCTCCAGCGAGGCTACGCGCGGGTCCTGCACGCGTGCGTGCGGCGCCACAAGGTGGGACACGTCCAGCAGCCAGTCGGGGCCGAGCAGGTGGGTGAGGCGGCGGCCACCGTCCAGCGGGTGGGCCGCGAAGGGGACAAGGAAGCGCACGCCGGCCCGCTGGTACTGCAGGCGGCAGCCCCGGGCGCGCCGTTCGGCCTCCTCCGCCACCGCAGCAGCCTCGGGTTCCAGCACGCTGGGGAGGTGGGGGTGGGGCAGGACGGACAGGCCCGGGGGCGGGGTGTCAGCTCGGGCTCCGCCCCCAGCCGTTGAGGGCCCCGCCCTCTGGAGACACCCCCCCGCCCCCCCCAGCTCCTAAGGGACGCGCATTCTTCAAACTGCGCATAGCTGCCCCTTTGCGTGTTGGCGCGGCGCCGCCGTTCCTAATTGGTGCCTATGCCTGTCCATCAAGCCGCTCTCGCCCTCCTCTTGCTCTTAATCTGAATTCTTGGCTCTTGGGGAGGCGGGGAGACCCTCTCCGAGGGGGAGACCTTGCAGTGCTCAGTGTCCGGGGGGCCTGGCTCAGATTCCTGAGGCCACCTCGCCCTTGGGCTCCGGTGGGACCCTCTCGATATTTATTGAGCTAGGTGCCATCTTAGGCTTTGAGGACGCAGCAGTGAACAGAATAGACAAAACCCCTCGCCTTCCAGGTCTTAAAGTCTCAGGGAGGAGAGTGAAGGCGGTGGGCAGACCACAAACAAGATGAATCAGGCGGTCCAGTAATTAGGAAGTGATCTGTACTTCGGAGAAGTGTGGCATGGGAGGGGGAGAGAGAGTGTGGAGGTTGGCGATCACAAAATGGCCAGAGGCTGGGTGGGGACAGGCAGGTGGGCAGGAGGGACGGAAGCAACAGGGCAGTTTTTAGATCCCAGCTTGAGCCCATGGCTGTGTTCCCTGCACCATCTCTCGGGTCCCAGAGCGACTTCGCCAAGGCCTCCACTCACCCTTCAGCTGGGCCGGGGACCCTCCAGCCTCGGACCTGCTCCAGGGTGGTGTCGGTCAGCTCAATGCGCAGGGGCAGCAGCGGGGCCCACACTGTCAGTCGCAGCGAGGTCCTCAGCCGGCGCCACCAGAAGTCCACCCGCACCCCACGGGCGCCCCGGCTTTCCTTGCCAGACACAAACACAGCATCACAGGTCTCCGACACCTATGGGAGGTAGGAGCTGGGCTAAGCTTCGGAAGACAGGTGTGGAGCTCAGGGCAGAGAGGGCTGCCCTGAGCCCCCGCCATATGGGGCAGGGCTGAAATTCATTCTGCAATTTACTGGCATGTCTTAAGAGTATGAAGATTTCACCAAGGGGCGCCTGGGTGGCTCAGTTGGTTAAGCGTCTGCCTTTGGCTCAGGTCATGGTCTCAGGGTCCTGGGATTGAGCCCCGCATGGCTCCCTGCTCAGTGGGGAGCCTGCTTCTCCCTCTCCCTTTGCCCCTCTCCCCTGCTCCTGCTCTCTCTCAAATAAATAAAATCTTAAAAAAAAAAAAAAAGGGCTTCACTATGCATCTGAGATCCATTCTAGAGGAACCAGCCATTCCCCAAGTTCACCTGGGGCTCAGCTGGGGAAACTATTTGCGTAAAAACAAAATCTTTCTCCTGGTAGTGGAGAGTTCGAACCCACACATTTGGCTCATTAGTGCTGGCCTCCGACTTTTGTGCTGGAGCCACCTGGCAACCAACTACAGGAAGGTGGGCAGAGGCAAGACAGACCTACCCACCCGAGAGCCCTCAGGAGGGAACCACTCACACAGGGGCAAAGTGCCATCGTAAGTGAAAAGACACCTCTTCCGGTCAGGCAGCCAGGATTTAGGAAATGCAAGCTCTGGGCTTCCCCTCTTAGAACTTCAAAATGGAGAAAGTTACCCTGCCCCCCTTTTTTTTCCTAATCTCATGGATCATTACAAGGCTCTAATAATTATCATTTTTAGCATCCTATAAGTATTACATTGTATTAAAAGCTGCCATCGCTTCAGCTCCTGCTCTCTGCTGGTATAGTGTCGTAGGTGCTTTTAATTTTTTTTTGTTTTTTTTAAGAGAGGGAGGAAGTGGGGGAGGGGCAGACGGAGAGGGAGAATCTTAAGCAGGCTCCATGTCCAGCGACGAGCTGGACGTGGGGCTCAATCTTGTGACCCTGAGATCATGACATGAGCCGAAATCAAGAGGCAGATGCTTAACCGACTGAGTCACCCAGGCGCCCCTGGATGCTTTTAATTCTTACAATATATTCCCATTTTATATTTTCCCATTTTAAAGTTTAGAAAACCAAGGCTCAGAGAGGTGAAGAGACTAGTCCATGATCACACAGCTAATTGATAAAAAAGATTTTTTTTTTTAAGATTTATTTATTTGACAGAGAGAGAGAGCGTGCATAAGCGCAGGGGGAACAGCAGAGGGAGAGGGAGAAGCAGGCTCCCTGCTGAGCAGGGACCCCCCCCCCGCCGAGGTGGGGCTCCATCCCAGGATCCTGGGATCATGACCTGAGCTGAAGGCAGACAGTTAACCAACTGAGCCACTCAGGTGCCTCCAAAGATGGGTTTCAAACCAAAATTTGTGGGTCCCAACATACATACTCTTTTTTTTTTTTAAATAGGCTCTAGCTCGGGCGCCTGGGTGGCTCAGTTGGTTAAGCGACTGCCTTCGGCTCAGGTCATGATCCTGGAGTCCCTGGATCAAGTCCCGCATCGGGCTCCCTGCTCGGCAGGGAGTCTGCTTCTCCCTCTGACCCTCCCCCCTCATGT